GCGGCTGCTGGTCCCAGCCTACTCTGGCGAGTTACCTGCTGCCCCCAGTGCCACGTGATCGGGGCGGCCCCGGGAACCTCGTGGGAGGGCCAGAACCCTGCCCGGGAGGCGAGTGCTCACTTCAGCCTTGGCGTGCGCTAGGAGGCTCAAGTCCCACCTCTTGGTGAGGTCCAGCAGGACTCCAGGGACGAACCCATTATTTCTCCTGCTTCCTCTCCAGCAGGCAATGAGTCCTCCGCAAAAGAATGTGCAGGACTAGAGGCCTTTCCCATTCCGCGAGGGTCACGCGGGACCTGTGGAAGCCACCAAGAGTCAATCTAGGGGCTGTAGGGGGTCACGACGTCCGGCTTGGGGGGCGTTGATGGAAGTCACAAAGTGTCCAAAGCCGACAGCGCTACCACGTATCCACTGGAAGCTGGTGGGAGAGAGGCTGGGGAAAGGGAGGGCAGCAAAGATCAAGGGTTCGTAGAGCTGTGGGCGGTCACTAGAAATCACAGGGAAGGACGTGTCTATACAGGTCAGCCTTGAGCTGCGTCGGCAAAGTGCCGGCAGTGCAAAGCGCCATCCTTGGTGCAAGGGAAGAACACACCTCTCTTCAAACCCGAGAGAACTGCTTCGTGAGTGAGGTTGAGTCAGATAAATGGTCGGGGCCTGGAAATTCAGCCTACCTACCTCACTTGGGGGTTGCCTGTTTGCTTTCGTCTTTCTTGGATGATAGACGTGCGATCTGGAGATTGAAAGCACTCTGGCAGGGACTGGATAGCGGTTGAGTTGTGTACAAGCGCGCAGGCTACAAAGTGTGCATCCCAACCCAGTTCAGACTAGTCCCATTCACCCCACGGTGAGACGCTCTTATATTGTTTCCAGCCCGCCCTGTGCGCTCCGGATAGTTTTCCTTCTACTCAGCAGTAACTAGTAATCTGGCGAGAGGAAAGAGCTACAGCCTGGCGTGGGACTTAGGAGATGAAGGATGCCAAAGCCAAGACTTGAAGAAGAACTTAGTGTGTTTGGTAAAGCGGGGAGCTACATATGAGTCTTTGATAAAAAGCAGCTCAGAACCCGGGAGCATCCCCAATTCATGCCTAAGGAAGGGGTGCAGAGCCAGGGAACCAACCTAGAGTGGATAGTGTGGCTCCCGGGTTTTCCTACACAGTAGCGCGGGAACACAATGACAAGATACTGCGGAAGGTGGCTGGTGGGCTCACTCTGCAATCCCTATCCGGGCGGCTCACCGGGAGCCATCCCCTAAGCCCCGCCCCCGACGATAAGCCTGGAATGTTAAATATTTGCTCTAGGAACCCAGAGAAACCTTGAGGTAAAGCCCCTCCCATTCCGGAGTGCGCCTGCGTTAGTTCAGACTTTCCGGTAGGACACTCCCTTCCCACTAGTTCCTTCTACCCGCCTCCCCTCACCCCTCGTCCTGATTACTTAAACATTAAGGCCTGCAACGCTACCGTCTCCGGTTCTGTGGGGCAGAGCCCCGCGTCCCTACACGGCTATACCGGTGCTCTCGGTATAGTCTCTACCCACAACATCCCAGCAAGGCCTTTCCCTTCATTCAACTTGTAGACCTCGATTCCCGATTCTCCGGAAACTGTGGGATGCCTGGCTGTCCTGAGCCCACTGGAAAGAAGCATTAGTGCCCGGGTTCCCCCTAGGTGAAACATAGTACTGACAGACTAAGAGATTCCTTTCAACTACGGTTCGCTCATCCGGTTTTTCCTCATAGTAAAACTATTCCAGACCTTTAAAGTCGTTGTGTTTTGTGCTTGTGTGTAAGATGCCTGCATGCCTCAGCGCTTGTGTGGAGGTCAGAGGACTAGTGTAAGTTGCTTCTCTCCTTTCACGAGATGAATCCTGGACATGGAACTCAAGCAAGCTATCTTACCACCCCTGTTTTGTTTTTTGAGACCGAATCCCATGTGCCCATGTACTGGCTAAATAGCAGAGGATGATACTGTAAATCTCATTTTCCTGCCTTCACTTCCCAAGTGCTTCGGAAACCAGCCAAAAGTGCCTCTGCACTCAAAAGGCAGAAGCCGAGAATGGCTGCAAAGATCCAAGCTAGCTTGGTCTACTTTGCAAGTTCCAGGTCATAAATCAACAAACAAAGCCAATAAGATTAGTAGCTGAGTGTGGGCTTACATTTACCACACACAAGAGGTTAAGACAGGAGCTCCTTTCCAGGCCACCCTGAGCTACATAAAATAGATAATTTTAAAAATTAGTTATTTAGCCAGGCAGTGGAGATGCATACCTTTAATCCCAGCATTCGAGAGGCAGAGACAGGAAGATCTCTGAGTCTGAGTACAGCCTGGCCTATAGAATGAATTATAAGTCAGCCAGGGCTAAACAGAGAAGCCCTATCTCAAAATACAAATAAAGTTATTTATAGCCAAGTGTGGTAGTGAATGCCTAAATCCCAACAGAAACAGGTGGATCTCTGTGAGTTCAAGGCCAGCCTGGTCTAGGACGGCCAGAGCTGCATAGAGAACCTTGTCTTAAAACAAACAAATCAAATAATGATGGGTCCTAGATCACCCTATCATTTAATAAGCAACTTTGCTCCTTACCCTCCCCATGAAGCCAATTTAGAAATAAGAGTCTTGATTCTATAGAGATGGCCCAGGACCCAGGTTCAATTCCCAACACTCACATGGCAGCACACAACTGTTGACTCCAATTCCAAGATACCCAATACCTTCAGACAGTTATAAATGCAGGCAAAACACTATTGTAGCCTTTGCTAGTCTGGAACTCACTATATAGACCAGGCTGTCATCAGACTCACAGAAATCTGCCTGCCTCTTCCTTCCCAGTGTTGGGATTAAAGGTGTATATCACCGTGCCTGACTGTTTTTTTTTTGGTTTTTCGAGAGATTCTCTGTGTAGCTTTTTAGCCTATCCTGGCACAGGCTGGCCTCAAACTCACAGAGATGGGCCTGCCTCTGCCTCCCAAGTCCTTTCCTTTTTTAAAATAAATAATTTATTTTTATTTTAAGTGCATTGTTGTTTTGCCTGAATGTATGTCTGTGTGAGGGTGTCTGAAGGCCTGAAACTGGAGTTACAGACAGCTGCCATGTGGGAATTGAACCCAAGTCTTCTGTAAGAACAGCCTGGGCTCTTAAACACTGATCCATCTCCTCTTTCTTTTCGTTTTTTTTTATTTAATGTGTGTGAATGTTTTGCCTGTGTGTGTGTGTGTGTGTGTGTGTGTGTGTGTGTGTGTGTGTATGTTCTATGTGCATGCCTGGTGCTTACAGAGATCAGAAGGTGTCAGATTCCCTGGAATTGGAGTTACCCATGACTGTGAGACACTGGTGGGTGCTGGGGATTGAATCAAGTGCTCTAAATTACTGACCAGCTCTCCTGTCCCCGCTTTTGCTTTCTATACCAGCATTGGTAAGTTCCTGGACAACAGATCCTTTTCAGTGGTGCCTTTTCCTCGAAGCCCACCTCTGCTCTTCCAGGATATTTTCACTTCTCAAGAGTACCTCCAACTGTAGTAGGGATCCCCTATACAGTCTGAGATTTCTGTACTGATGAGGGTCCCAGCCACAGTAAATCCCCACTCCTCTGCTTGTTTGTAGGGTGATTGATGAATGAATGAATTAATGAGAGGTGGGGTACTGAACAGAGGTAGTAAGTAAATGCTGTCCCAAATTGCATTCTAGAAAGGAGGGAGCATGTTTCAACAGTGTGCACACAAGGCTCTTCAAAAAGATATAGTGTGTCCACTCACACACGGGGGTGGGAGTGGGTGGGGGAGTGGGTTGAGGGGGGTGTTGGTGAAACGTTTATGCTAACAGGAGTGGTGAAAAAGCATCTCTTCCTTCTCTTTTTGACCAGAAAAGATCGTGGGCTGGAGAGATGGCTCAGAGGTTAAGAGCACTGACTGCTCTTCCAGAGGTCCTGAGTTCAATTCCCAGCAACTACATGGTGGCTCTCAGCCATCCCTAGTAGGTTCTGATGCCCTCTTCTGGCATAAAGGATACACAAAGGCAGAACACTGTATACATAATAAATAAATAACTCTTAAAAAAATCCTGAGATAGAACAAGATTCAAAATGAGGATGCCAGGCGGTGGTGGCACACTCCTTTAAACCCAGCACTTGGGAGGCAGAGGCAAGTGGATCTTTTGTGAGTTCAGGCTGGCCTACAGACTGAGTTCCAAGACAGACTCCAAAGCTACAGAGAAACCCTATCTCGAAAAAAAATAAATGAACAACAACAACAACAGCAAAGATTCAACTAGAGGATCGTTATTCGCCCTCAACTAACCACACATCATCTCCTGGGTAAGTAGAAATAGTCAGCCCACCCAAGTTTCTCATCTCTGCGTTGTTGCGTAATCATTTAATACCACCAGAGGGCGCACTGACTCTGTGGCCTTAACCTGTTTGAGAGAAACCCGGTAGGGTAACAGGGAATGCCTGGATGCTGCCAGCCAAGCCCCACCCCACCCCACCCCGACGCCCGCAAACTTCACAATCTACATATGGCTCCTGAGACAAGGACTCAACACTCACTTATTCTCAGAAACTTGATCAACCATGAGCCATGACACAGGTTTTAATTTTAGACAGTTTTGTATTATTTTGTATGTATTGAGATTTTTGCCTGCATGCATATCTGTGCATCATGTATTTACCTGGTACCCACAGAGGTCATAAGAAGGCCTTGAGTCGGGGCTGGAGAGATGGCTCAGAAGTTAAGAGCACTGACTACTCTTCCAGAGGTCCTGAGTTCAATTCCCAACAACCACATGGTGGCTCACAACCATCTGTAGTGAGATCTGGTGCCCTCTTCTGGCCTGGAGGCATAGATGCAGACAGAATACTGCATATAATAAATAAATAAATAAATAAATAAATAAATAAATGCAGGCAGAATGCTGCAATAAATAAATAAGTAAATAGATCTTTAAACCGGGTGGTGGTCACTCTGGAGGCAGAGGCAGGTGGATCTCTGTGAGTTCGAGACCAGCCTGGTCTACAATAGCTAGTTCCAGGACAGCCTCCAAAGCCACAGAGAAACTTTGTCTCGAAACCCCCCCCCCCAAAAAAAAGAAGACCTTGAGTCACCTACACCTGGAGTTACAGACAGCTCTGAGCTGCTATGTGGGTGCTGGGAATTGAGCCCAGGTCCTCTAGAAGAGCAGTCAATGTTCTTAACCTCTCAGGGTTTTGTTGTTGTTTTGTTGGTTGGTTGGTGGTTTTTGTTTGTTTGTTTGTTTTGCTTTGTTTTGCTCCCCCCCCCAAAAAAAAACAG